ACTAAGCGGAGGCTTTAAGGAGTATAGGAACAGTGGTAATAATGGAATACCATTCAATAGTGACTGTACACGTGTAAAGAATGATACTCCCAGAACACCATGTTGCGACAATAATTCAACCATGGGTGAATCCTTTAAGGTTGTCGCATTATGTGAATTTATAGAAAGAAAGGAATACATTCATAGCAGGTCGCAGGACAAAGACTCTTATATACACATACATATTCCCGATATGATTCGCATCCGTTATGTCTTTTTTTATTGTGAAAATGTGAAAGAGATCGTAGAAGAGCTCGACCCTATAGAAGAAAATGTGATTGATAAATTTTGGAAAAGTAGTTACTTCTTACCAGTGACTGGGTGTGCTATAGCGGTTTCTGTGCTTGCGTTCATATACAGAGAAGATATCAAGAAGGTCCTGTATTCAATTTCTGACGTACAAATGAAGAATGTAAAAGCTCTTGTGTCGCGCGTTTGTACTCCTTCCGACTCGCATTTTTAAACACTTTTTGGAAATAAATTTTTATTGATGTGATTGGTTTGTTAATAGTGGGACAAGTAATAAATAATATATTGTTGATTGAACTGATAATTTTTTTTCTTTTATCAAATTAATAGTGTTGTATTCACATTGAAATGCACATACATTTTTTTTTTTGAGTCCTGGTGGTTACCTTAAGAAGAATCATCATTTTTTTTTAAAACGATTTCATTCTTGAGATTTTAACTTAATTAGTTCTAAAGAATATAGAGTGCTATATAGTATTTGTAACGTATGTCACAATAACCATACTGCTTCCTGAAGTTGACTTTTTTCATTTAAAAGATTTATTTGCTTTGCTAATATTTGTTGTGATGAATTCTACATGGACCTATGTATGTGAAAGATATTCCCACTCAAAGGCCTCTTCCGTTACTTATAGATTCGAATAGATTCTAGAAATATTATTTGTTTTATTGTATTTAAAAATTAATTAAAAAACAAAATACCATATTATTTAATTAGATATTCAAGTGCGTTTATCAGGTGTACGCATGATCTATTCTTGTAGTATGAATATTGGTCTGCTTTTAGAAGTCACTCTACAAGTGAAGAAATGTGTTTAACAATAATTGTCTTAATTATTGACAAGAATGGACCGCAGACTAATTGGTCAACTGCCAATCAGCAAACAAATAATTAAACGAAAGTATATATTCTACTGGTTGAGTCACATGAGGAATGAACAAAGAAGCTATCAGGGGAAACAAACCGTGGGCGATAGATTTTAGAAAGCCAGAATGAAAAGACGTCTAGTTATTATAACATCTTAAATAGATTTGTGATATATTTTTGAGGGACATAGTCATCCAATTGGTCACAAAGGTTGCAGTACAAATTTGAATTTATTACTTTATCTGTATGCTTTACAAATGTTAGACATGAAAACTAGCATATCTTATAGATTTATGTCAAAATGGAAATTCGTTGTAGAATAAATATTATATTAGAAGCATTTTAACATCCACAGGTTGGAGTTCGCAATATTTTACTAATATTAAATTAACTGCAATGAAAAAAAATCAATAAAGACGAATCCAAACTTTCTATTGACGCCGAAAGCCATTATCGTATAATGAATAATAAAAATCTATCTATCTATTTCTGCGAATTTAGTTAGGTTATACTAATTTATAGTTAATGTATAAAGTTACGTTTGTAAATTTAAAAAATCTGTATATAATAAAGAAGAATACTACTACTGCTATAATCAATTCACATTGAAGTATGTGGTATGCTAATTTAGAAAAGTTCGTCTAACTACTAACTGCTGCAACTGCATCTCAATTTCGACCTTTTTAAATACCTTTTTAAATAATATTCTTTTAATATTTTCCTTCTCAAGTGGTTTTCATAATTATTTTTAAAATACAAATAGTAAGACTCACACTTAACCACTTCCAACTTCATTTTCACTATGCAGGCTTAAATAACCACGTAAAGTGCTTGTCAATAGCTTTTGGGAATCACAAACTTAACAAAGGATAGCAAAAAACGTAACAGTAACACACTAAAAAAAGAGAATAGATCGGTTAGTAGGTTTTGGCATACCAAAAAAAAAAAACAAAAATTTTAATATGAGATGATTAAACTTTTTCATTGAGTAGCATATAACCTTTAAAGTATGCTCTTGACATTAACGTTATCCTTCCTATGTTAGAGGTAAGACACTGTACTCTAAAGGGGAATCCATTTATGAACAAAAATTACATACTTTAGAATGCTGGCATTAAAGAAATACTCCTCGTTTAATGTATCTGTACGCATACGTGCGCACTTTAACTGTCATAAACATTAAAACGACATTAACATAAACTAAGATGAACAACATTTTGAATTAGGCAAATTTTTGAAGTTCCCATCAAGTTCCCATCAAGTTCCCATACCCATCCCATACCAGCTTTTTTGTACTCGACTGCAAGTGATTCAGTATCCCTTGGACACAGAATAGCAGAATAATGGAAAAACTGAAGTGACAGCTATCATTTGTTGAGAAAACGTGAGAGTACACGTTGTTATAGTTTACTTTGCAAAATGTCTCATGTCTACAGAACGTTCCAGAGTAATATACTTAATTGGCTTATGTATGTAATAGCTCTGAAACCAGAGAAAAATGGTGTAGTGGTTAGAATGTCATATGATTAGTAAAATGTTTTGAACTTTATATGCAAATAATTTGTAGATATAATATGTAATGTCGCCTTCTAATGGGAATTTTAGTGAAGTGCACTATTTTGATATGAACTTTCCTTTTTTCTCAAAAGATAGGTTCATTGTATGAGTGATAAAAGTGTTTGTTTAATGCAGTAGGTAAGTAAATAAATTAAGTATTAATATATTAAACATAAAATGCAATTTAATTAATTAAATTAAGTAATTATTGAGCCGTATTTTGGCCCAATCAACCCCCTTTTAAATTAATATTCTAACTGCAATAAGAATGAGCAGTAATTATTACTTATAAGCGCCGCCATGTGAAACTTAAATATAACATAGACACCAAACATTGTATTCTCTGATGAGAAAAATATACCCCATTGAGCAGTTCATAAACTCTCAGAATGATTGTGTTTATTTAACTGATCGCACTGCCGTCGACTGCCATTTGAGACTACGAATGGCCACCCGAAGTAATTTTTCATCTCAAGTGATGGTATGGGCAGTTGTGACCGCTGATGGACAACAATGCGATTTATTATCGGAAAAATGGAAAATGTTTTGGAAGTTGCTTTAGAGTCGTGGGCATACAAATATTTGGGTCTTTGACCATAGATGTTCCAACAAGACTCGACACCGGTCTCAGTCTCATAAAGTTCATGTTTTACACGTTATTTCGCCACACGAAATGAATGGCTTTTGAATTCGCCAGATGCATATGGAGAACAGGGTGAAGACTAAAAAATATGTAATGTTGCTTTTTGTATATTGAAATGCTGGAATCTGGTATTACTAACCACCATGTTTCTAGCCGCGGCGAAATCAATTAGCCTTCTTCCATTACCAGAAGTTTTTGTGTGAAAGCTGAACTTTTCGACAGTAGCGCCAAAGATACCTTCTTTACCTAGTCTCCTACAACGATTTTGATATCACGATGGGGACAGCGTTCATATGTTTGTTCAAGCTGTTCATAGAAAATTTCCTTGGTTTCGTCATCTTTATCTTCCGTCGGGGCATGCGCACAAACAAGAGTGATGAAGAAAAATTTTGCCTTGACACGGATTTTTGCGAGCCTTTCGTTTATTGGTGTAAATGTTGAGACCAAATATATATTTTGTTTAAGGCGGAGTTCTTTTTAAATAAAACCTATACTATTTGATTAGTTATTGATTGTATTTATTTTTACTGTAGGGATTTAATTATAGAATAAATTAACAAAATTAAGTGAAATGTAGTGATTGACTCTACATTTGTAGCAAATTAGCTAACACTTCGGAAATATTTTTTTATTTATTTTATTTAATCATATACTGTGTATCAAACTCTCTTAAATTTAAAACAAAGTCTCGCATATAAACAAACTGAACCATTCTCACATCTTCAAAGTGTTGTTATAAGTTGGAGTTTTGATTTATTTAAAGAGAAAAAATATTTCTTTATTGGTAGGAATCAATTTTTCCAATTCTTTAACTTAGAAATAAACTATTCCTAGTTTTTAAGTCGATATATTATATCCCAAAAAGGTTCTAATTCAGAACTACAGAAAAAATTTGAGCTTTTAAATAGTCTTGCCAAAAGCAAAATATAAATCACTCTTATATGGGTATGTAGCGCGCAGCAAGGTCTCAAACATTACTATTCGCCAGCTAGAAATTGCACAAAGCCAGGCTCTGAGAAGACTTTTCAAGGTGCCATGGTACATTAGGACGAATGACATCCTCAGTGACCTTAAGATTAATCCGATCAAAAAGTATATAAAGGATAGTACGCTGAAACTTCTTAAAAAAATTGACAGGCTTGCCAACACCGCGCTAACGAATCTTGGAATAGTTATAGGTTTCTCTGGGAGGTATGCAGATCTGAGGTCAGTAATTGCTTAGTTTGATGAAGTGATAAACAGTAGTACAGTTAAAGCGTAGATAGGGGTTATAAAGAAAGCTCGCCGTTAATAGAGAGTAAAAGTGCTCAAGTGCTAGCCTCAACATAATAATTAATTGAAAAATAAAAAGGTTTTATTTTTAATTCTGTTTGTTATAACCCATAGTTCGTTGTCAAAGGGTTTAATTTTAGTGAAAAGTACTATATATAAATTCTACATCTTAAACTTGATTTAATTTTAAACTATTAATACATACACATTTATAAAATAAGTAACTATCATTAAAATTTCTCTACTGACCATGAAAATTAATGAGTTTAATAATAAGAATGTAGTATGTCAAGAAAAATAATTTACATTTGAAAAACTTAATAATTTATCTATTAATTATAACAATATAATAACTAACGCAACACAATGAAATAAATTAAAAATACAAAGAAAAAATTTGGCATTTTTAAAATTAAATTAAATTTAAAATTATTCCTATTCAAACAGTTTTTGGCAAGTTATTTGATGAATTTTGATTTAAAAATTATTTTTTTGGTTCAAATTTAGTTAGGGTTAGAAAAAATCTTAAGCGACAATGGATGTCAGAAGAGTAAGTCTCTTTCACTAAAAACTATGTAAATAAATTTAAATAAATACTAATTTAAAACGCACAGTTTGCAAATGGAAGCGGGGATGCTGACTCATCGAATTTTATGCTTCGTCTAATACCTGATTATTTCAATCTTCCTCTTTTGGACAGGCATAATGACGAATTACATCACGAAATTCACACACAATATCAACGAAGATTTGAAAATGATGTACGCAGGTGTCATCGGCAATTGCGACAACAGATGGGTATACCTTTAACGGCTTTTAAGATTGGTACACCTGCAAATATAGGGCAAAGTCGTTTATTCGTAGGTTTAACCTTTGAAGAGGAATATAGTCGTACATATCGATGGAAGCAACTAAAATTTCAGAGAAAATTGGACTTACTTATTCAGAGTCGTTATAAGCAAAGAAAAGATGAACTATTTACAGAAATATACGGGTAATATTGTTCACCAAAGTGACCGATCGACCTGCTGCAATGGAGAATAAAATGTAATGGAATACTAAAATACCACTTAAAAAATTGGTAATATTTAGACAACTATATATCCGGTATTTCATTAGTTTGCATCACAAAAACTTTTTCTTTTGCTACATGAAGTAAAGCAAATATAGAAGTTTAGTTAATTGCTCTTAAGAATCTATATGTAAAAAATGCTTACTAATATATATATATATATATATATATATGATATTAAATTATAAAGATTTGTATTTTGATCAAAGCTTATTAAATACAGCGTTGATCAAGTACGTTGTCTAGTACTTGAATCTTCTTTTTAAATTTGACTGTCAACTATCCATCATTAATGGTTTTAAGGCCGTGTGTGAGTTCGAGTAAATTGAAATTTTCTAACGATTTTTTGCACTGCACTTATTTAAATATTTATTTATTTATTTATTTGTTATTTATTTATTTATTACACTTATTTATTATTTTTGGTTAAAAGTTTTCAATTTTATTTATTAAACATCTCATAAAATTTTCACAATGGTACCTAATTTACTTGATTTTTATCTAATTTACCCTACTCGAAATTCTGGTAAATACCAACATTCGCTGCGATACTGACATAATTTATTATTTCCTACAATTTACCATCAATTTACTCGAACTCGCACACTGCCTTAAAACCATTAATGACGGATATTTAACAATATCTGACATAGTATTATGGCAACACCTAAACTTCACTTTATTCAAAAATTAAATTTTATAATTAAGTTTCCTCACTATTAAAGATTTTTTTCAATTCGATATAGATTTATGTTTTTAAATAAAAATTTTTCTTTAAATTCAGCGTAACACCGAAGAGCTTAAGATGGCCCAAAATAACTGAATTTCTTCAATGTTAAAGGAACTATTGGAAAACGGTAGCATTAACCTCAATATTAACTCATTTTAGCTAAAGGCACAGCTTCTGAAAGGAAGATGGCCTATAACTTATCTTTAAAGAAGGTATCGCAAATTTGTTTCGAACTTCCGAAAATGATAAATATTAACAAATAAATTCTGCAGATTTTCTAATATTAATTTAGGACACCAAATAGAAGAGTTATTCAATATCGTGAAGAAAAACTGCTTGTATTTCTCTGAGATGATTAATGGACATTTAGTCTTGAATTCCGAAAGGTTGGTCTTTGATATATGATATATGAAAAATATTATATACTTTTTACGAACATAACAAAACTGAATTGAATGAAGAGGGCGAGTCAATGCTGAAATATTCATTCATAGGACAGTTTTAATAGTTAATGTTTGCAGTATTAAAGTAATGGTTGTACTTTTATAATTGTAGATGTCCATACAATCTGACATGCAGAAAGCAAGACTGAAGACTAGGCTTAGCAATTGAAATGATACAGAAAGAAAATGTATGTATGAGTACTTCTCGTAGGTGATTAATGAATACTACTGAGCACAATTTGCATGAATCGCATTCTATGATATATTAAGAGACTAAACGATCAAACAAAATCTAAATTACATAAAAATGGAATACGTTTGGATTTTTTCTTGTATGATATCTTTCGCAGTTAATATGAATAACATTTAATATGGACAAAGAATTAGGAGTAGTTTGGAAAAACACTAAACTGAAAATGTCTATACAAGTTGGAATCCGAACAATAAGAAAAGGAGTGAATCCGAACAATAAGAGAAGGAGTTAACTGATTGTTTAGGTATAACAAAAGTTAGTAAGAGAATAAATTTATGAGTACTCATCATTGATAATAAATGAATACTTAAATATTGGCATAATTCATAAACGACGACTTATTAGAAGATTATAATCTTTTGATAAGATTAAAGAGATATTTTTGTTCTATTACATACCACCTTACTGTGTATCTCACCGACTAACATGCAAATAATGTCGATACATTGAAGTTTATCTCTGTTTCGATATTTTGTATGTATTTGTCTTAACTTTGCCAAATATTTTAAATTTTAATTATTTTTTCTAACCTTTAACTTTATTTGAAACAAATATATTAAATTAAATATTAAATCGTTTTTGTTTTCAAAAGCATATATATTATATATATATATATATTTATATATTTCATATATATATATATACATATATATTTATTTCTATTTGAGCCAGTGCACTTGAGCACTTTTACTCTTTCTTAACTCAAGGTATTTTTAAAACCCCTCTTACGCCTTGACTGGATTATTGTTTATCACTTCATCAGACTTAGCAATAATTAACCATAGAGCTGTATACCTCCCCGGGGAGCCTGTAACCATTCTGAGATTCGATAACGCAGTGTTGGTAAGTCTTTCAGTTTTCGCAAATAATTTCTGGGCTTTACCCTTTATGTATTTTTTGATGGGATCAATCTTGAGGTCCCTGAGGACGTCATTCGTCCAAATGTACCATAGTACTTTGAAAAGTCTTCTCAGAGCTTGGCTTTATGCAATTTCTAGCTGGCGAATAGTAGTGTTTGAAGCTTTGCTAAACGCTACAGAACCATATAGAAGTGACGGACGAATTATTTGGTTATATATCAGTTCTCTGTTCTTAGCATTTAGATTTTCATTTCTGAATAGCGGTTGGAGGTGATGAAGAATATATATATAGAGACACTTTAGAAATGTGATCTGATGTTGGTGGTAGTGTTCGAAACTGAAGATATAACAAACAAACAAAAATAATATGTAAACAAACACTTATAAATCATATATCTAAACATTTAAACTAAATATTGTAATAGAATAATACGCTAAGGTATTATTCTGGAGTGTTATTATTAGAAGTCTGGAAGTGTATTCATTCATTTGATTGCAATATGAAATATAAAATCAGAAACTTGAAGTGGTAAGATATAGTATACTATATATCAACTGTAAAGGTAGCATATGTGATTAGGTATATATGTTGGTATAACTACAAATAAGTTCTAAACAAGTATGGCAGGACACAGACACTATAAGGTATGTATGGAAGTTAAAGCCGTTCTTGCTTCATGTTACATTTCATTATAGCATGAGCCAGGTTTAGATAATGTATAAATCCCAGAACTCCATATTTTTTGTGTTACGATTGATATTTGTGTTTAGTTCTCGATAATGTATTTTATAATGTTAATTAATGTTGAGAATATAATTGTTAGATAACTGGAGAGATTATGCAATTAAGTAAAAAGTAATTAAAAGTTGTTCTTAACAAGATGTTCATTTTTAACAAGATCTATATTTTGAGTAAATAATTTATATAACAGAATTTAGTAGCATTACCAACTAAGCCATAATGCAGGACATCTCTAAATAATCATGTCAAATTTGTAATCATTTTGGCTGAAAAATCCGCCAAATTAATGGATAATAAAAAAATAAAATTTCTTTTAGCTATTAGTTAATATATGTTAATATATTATTAAACAATTTATTTTTCATATAACTTCATATAACTTTTTTTTCAAACTGTTCAGCGATTTAATATTTTGCATAATGAATCAAATAAATGTACTTACCCAACGGTTACATCAAAAATGTTACTACCAACTGAACTGGAAACTGCCATATCACCAAAGCCTTTGCGAGCCACAATAACAGATGTTATTAAATCTGGTATAGAAGTGCCTGCTGCGAGGAAGGTTAAGCCCATAACCTAGTTAAAATGCAGAAACACATGATGAGTATGATTTTTGTGAGTATTTGTGAAATAAATCGAAATGTGTGCATTAATCTACATATGCATAAATATATATATAAATATATATGTATGTATATAGATGCATGTAAATTTTTAAATATATATGTCCATTTATGTAAATGCATTGTCGATTATTGTATGCTAATATATAATATATGAAATAATGCATTTGCATGTTTGCTTACCTCAGGTGGAATGCGTGCCGTATCACCGGCCACGTTCGCCCACCAAACCATTAAATAGGAGAAGGCAGCAATCCATAATATCGAGCCAATAAATGTAATCGGGAAGTACTTTTTGCCACGTGGTGTGCGCGTATCTGGTAATGTTAGCCACATTGGTATGAGTAAAGGTGCCACTAATATGTAGGTGAGCCTCTTGCGGGCAGTATCTGGCCAGGCCATACTCAATGGCTCAGGCTCATCTTCAATTTCGTTGGCCTAAATTCGTTTTTAAAGTATTTTTTTGTGTTTTGTTTTGGTTTTTTTGTTCGGTTTTAAAGAGAAGGTTTCAGAAAAAAAATTTATATTAGTAAAGTTTAAATAAAAATTTAAAATTTTTGTTTTTTATAAAATTGTATAAGTTATACTTTTAAAATTGATCAAATAAAAATGGATTTTCAATATATGTATATAAGTACATATTTATATATAAAATATAATTAAATCTTTTTACAAAAGGGAATTTTTTTACATGAGCTGAAAATATTAATTAAATATTGTATATAATTTAAAATACAATAATAAAAATGACGTGAATGTGAATATGAATAAAAATTGTAGAAATTGATAAAGGAAATTACTTAATTCAAACGAAATTTAGAAATATGATTTATGTAGTAGCGATTAAATAAATTCAATGTATATATTTTTTTCTTTATATCAATTAATTGAAAATTAATTAATTTAAAAAATTATATATGTATAAAAATTTTGAAAATATTTCTGTTGAATTGTTAAATTAAGATTTCTTAAAAGAAAAACTTATAATTAAAATTAATGTTAAATGCTTATTCATTTAATATATTTTCAATTAAATTATTGAAAAAAAAACAAAAATTATTTTTTTTTTTAATTTTTACGTGAATAAAATTTAATTTTTCTCAATAATGATATTTAATTTTATTTATTCGCACTCACAGACAGGCGTTTAGAGCTTGTTTAGTTGGTGTTTCAGGCGTATTTTTATCTAATTTAATGGTTTTAGTATCGGTTTTAGTAAATAGAAGTACTTTCTTTAAATAGCAAAAGTATAAGGTAAATATATATATAATTTCAACAAACGTTAATAAATTTACATACTTCAATTTCAGTAAAGTCTGTATTGTTGCTTTACAAACATACATGCACAAATCACTAATAAATATTTATTTCGTTTTTATTCGAAGTTTACAATATTGCAATATTCAGATAATATACAATTTGTTATATATACAATAGTTCTACATATATAATTAAGAAAGTTAAAATTGAGTAAATGTGACTAAATTTCATTTAAAAATTAATTGAATTTAATTTCTATATATTGTAAATTTAATTTTTAAAATTGTATAAATATTATTAAAAAATTTATTAAGCCTTATAATACAATAAAATATAACAAAGAAATAATTAAAATTGATAAAATAAGTAATAAATAATATAAAATTGATTTACACTTATAATACAATAAAATATAACACAGTCTCCAAGCAGTTCGATAGAATATTTATATTAATTACTACTAATTATACTCTGTGTACTCTAATATTTGGAACAATATCAAATTATCCATAAACCCCAATTTAGGTTCAGCAACAAATATGACATTCCTAACGAAGTCCTCAGTTCATTAGAAAAAAATAGTAGTTTAGCGATACTTATAATTATTTAGCAAACGTTCGATCGAGCATAGCACACGATATTGTTTATACATACCTATAATGAAAAAGTAACTTTCTTTTCTCTGCAATATGTTTTTCAAGTCTTTTCTTCCCAATCGACCTGTACATATATTATGTTAAGCATAACTTCGAGTGGTCTTGAATAACATAATAAAGTGAAGCATTAAGGTTAATACAGAGTTAATACAGTACATAACAGTTTTACCAATTGAAAACGAGTACATGACAATAGTCAGCCAAATTTCAATAATTCAACTAAATTTTTGTTCTTATCTTTTCTTTGCTATTCGAACCCGTCTAACTTTTAAATAGTTCTTTTCGACATTTTTGCCGTCACTCTTAGCAAAAAAAAAATTAACATTAAAAAAGCTTAATTTTTTTTTTTTAATTATTGAAGTTATGTGAAACAAATTTTTGGAATTTAATACGAACATCTTATATATAATGAAGAAGCCAAAAAACTGCAAAATGTCGACAAACTGATAAAGAAAAGCACTGACTCTGAGCTTCAAATTTGGCAGAACATGAGTTCGATTCCTGGTGCTTGCAGTTTCAAAAAATTACCATATTTACGAATAAATAAATATAAGAATTATTTTCAAGACCACCGATGATGGGTATTTGGCAATACTTGATATAGCTTTATGGTCAGCCTAAAATTCAATTGATTAAAATAATATAAAAATGAATTTTTGTTGTTGTAGTTCACTACTTTTCGAAAAAAACCTTTTTATTAAAAGTACTATATAAATACATTTAAGTTCACATAAGTCTTAAAATAGACAGACACATTTCGACATGTTTTATATTTAATTTATATTTGTTTATTTATTTCTCTTATTATTATTATTTAATATTATTTATTTATAGATATATTATTATTTATTTTTTATATATATATTTTACAAATAATAATTTATTAGCGGGTTAACTGGTCATTTGAATATAAATAAAAAAACTATAATTTATTATTTATATTTAAAAACAAATTATGTTTTATTAAAATATTTTTCCGATATTTCTTCTACCTTCGATAGTCATCTTCAAAAAAACATATATAGTCGAACTTCCATAATTCGAACTTCTATAACACTCGAAGTTATATATAACTCGAACAGAAAAGAGTGCAACAGGATTTTAAAGAGCAAATTACATACAATTCTGTTTCATTAACTCGAACTTCTATTACTCGAATTTCTTTATGGCTCGAATAAAAATATTGTCACGTGCCTATAAAAATATGGGAGAGTACATTCTATAAGTCGAATTTTTGTTTTAGGTATAAATCTATTTTGGTGTTAGAGGAAGTTCCTTTTTCCAAACCAAATGTTTCAATTTTTTCTTTCTTATGTTGTTTTTTTGAGCAAATGCCAGTCCCTGGCAAACGGTAGTCAAACGGTAGCGCACTGCTTTAAAAAAGCTGAATTTGGCGAATTTTCTACATGAGAAGAACGGGATGACATTTCTTTAATTTTCTGGAATAATATTGATGAAGGCTGTGAAATGATGTAAAAGTAAAGTAAAAGTAACGTGAATAAAATAACTCCCAATGCTACTCTTCTCATTCTCGACTCTAAGCGTAAAGGAAAGTAATGATAGGGATTCTGTGGATGAAATTGATCATCGCCTTTCCAAGAATGAAGTAGAAGACTAATTCAAAATTTTGAATTTTTATTTGCATACAAATGATGCTACAACTGCTGATCACTATACGAGTTTGAATAAATTGGAATCCCTTTTTACTGAAAATAAGAAAAAAAAATTAAAATTCAAAACTCTAATTTCTAAATATTTTACTTCACCAAAACTTTTGTGCTGTATTTGATTGCAAATAAATAAATATCTTAAATGGTAATTCTAGTTTCTTTCAAAAATGAAAAAAAAAAAATTTTAAAAATTATCTAATTCGAAGTCTCCATAAGTCGAACCTTTTCTTTGCAAAATGATACTCCGAGTTCTGGAAGTTTGACTGTATATATATTTTTGAAAAATTGGATTCAGTACGTGAATCAGATTTTTGACTACGAGCTCGAATTATAAGAGATACTCTTCTCATTGTTAATAAATAGGTGTTTGTCATCTGACCTTGCCAATGCCAATAATTATTATATTTAAATTTAATATCAGAAATAATTAAATGAATTCATTAAATACGTTCGTCCTTACCTTCACGGTTGGAATGGTGTGGTTATAAATAAATTTTACTTCGAAATAAAATAAACTTTTCTCCTTTCGCAAGCTGCGTAGTGGAAATTTTGATTTAACACATTTAACTTTGGACGTTGCTCATCTGAGCATATAATTAAAAAATTAGCGCTTACCTTGCCAACGGGAAAAGGGACAAGGGAATAGGGACAAGGAAGTGAGTAAAAAGTTTCCTAACTCCATTTTATTCCTTCATTTGTGTTGTAAGAAATTTAATTTCTTTTTCGGCTATTATCCTTTTAGTGTTGTACATTACCGTTGCTTATCTACCGCCATTTCTAATGCTGTTTCACACAAAAAATTAAATTCTCTTTCATGCGATTAAACTTGTCCTACATTTGCGTTGCATACGACCGAAATATGTGCGGAGTGAAGGGAAAGAGTAAGAAAGCAAAAAAAAAAAAAGAAAAAACCTAATAAGAGAAGTGTAAGAAATGAAAGTCGCATTTCGACACTCGAATCTCAAATTCGCCGCGATTCTCTGTTTCTGCTGTTATTTATGTAAATTGAATTTGTGCTGTTGGCTTTAATTTGCACAAAAAACTTTTGGTCAACGCAATTCAAGTCGAAAGTATATTTTACAAAAAAGTTGAAAGGACCAAAATAAAAATATCTGTAAAAATATTAAATAAAAATTGTTTGTTTACACTCGAATAAGCGGCAGCAGGAAATCATAATTCCAATTTTTTACTCCGTTATTGTACATAATTTTTCCTTTTTTCCTTTTTTTCCTTTTAAATTAATATACACATATATATATATATATACATATATACATATGTATTTGGTGTTTTTATGTTTTCACAAACGGGCAACTTCGCCGTTGAAGCATTCTATAAAAGTTGAAATTAAATTTTTGTGTAAATTTTTGCTAATAAAATTTTATTCATAATGAGTTTTAAGAGAGAAAAACTCGTAAAAACGAAAAAAAAAAGTTTTAACAAAAATTTGCTTTAATGAGCCGCACATTGCAAAAAAAAGAAAACAAAAAAAAATAATAATTTTTTTAACATTGTTAGGTAAAAGTTTTTGAATCGATTTTTTTTTTTTAAACCAAATTCACACCAAAAAACATATGAAGATTTATAAAATTGAAGCAAAAATAAACGTCAGCACCAGAAAAGCACCAAAGCAAAAAATTCAAGGAATAAAAATTGGTAGAGAAATAAGCCATTTCTCTACCGGCGAACACCAGCCTTTGTGCTCGCACGTCCAGTTTTTACGGTGGACATTTAAAAGGCAATCAATCATGTAAACCATTTTGCCTTGATAATCGCACAGTAGGTATATGAGTATGTATAAAAAAATGATTTCCTTTTTCGATTTCAATTTCCATTCCTTTCATTAATTTTC